TAACGTAGGGCGATCCTTCATTGGGAGGATTTCAGAGGCGACATTCTTAACCCTAGAGAAGAGGCAATGCTCTGGGTCACTTGGCTGTAGGTCTTCTGGCTCCATGAATGGGACATGAAATCCTGGAAGTGCAGGGAAGAGACCGACACTGGCCACGCGGAGTCAGAGAGCTGACTCCGGGTGTGCTGTTCGGTAAAGGGTGGAGGGGCCGAATCTTCAGGGAGCAATGCTTTCCTGGGAGGCGTTCCAGAGGTCGGTCCTCCACCCTGCCGCCTTGATTCCCGAAGGCTCACTCATTTGACTTTTTTAATTTAAAAGAGCTGCTCTTTTCTCAGCACCAGATGTAAGAGAGCCCATTATAGAAATAAGGCTCAAGGACTGATTACTCCCTTTTTTTCACGGAGTCAGCTCCAGATGCTTGTTGCTAAGCCCAGCTTCCTCCACACTGCTTTAGAACAGGGAAAAGAAAATGCTCATTTTTGGAGCTTGGGAATAGTGAGAGTGGGACTGCTGCAGGCTCTTCTAGTTTCACAGTAATTTACTGTTTTACTAAAAAGGGTTTCTCCATCCCCACCTTTTATGTAGCATAACTGCTATCTGACGTGAGGGGTTCTCACACCGGGATGCTCAGTGTCCCTTTGATCTGGGTGAGGAGTCTGATGAGCACTGGGACGAGGGAGGCTTTAGGGGGGAAAAATTCCTGATTTGTAATATTTGCCAATTTCCATAGTGCAAATACTCCCACAATGCTGATTTCAAGTTATTAGCATGATGTCCTTACTTGAGACAAGGTACACTGCTCTGGAGAGCTGGTATAAGCTGCCCGCCCCCGCCCCTCCCCATACTCATTGCAGCTCTGGGGCCATGAACCCTGATTAAATTAGTGTGGCTAGCTTTTATTTGTTTTATTGATTTATCCAAAGGATTTCTCTTAAGGTACTGAGTTTACAAATCAATTGCTCCTGTACTATATCCCATGTATGTGCTCTTCAAAGACAAATGGATAAAAGTATACACCATCAGCCCTGGCCGGCGTGGCTCAGTTAGTTGGAATGTTGTCCCATGTACCGGAAGGTGGTAGACTTGATTCCCAGTCAGAATATACACATATGCACACACACTGGTCAACCTCATGTGGGTAGCAGCTGATCAATGTTTCTCTCTCTCTTTCTTTCTCAAAAACAATAAAATCTTTTTTTTTTTTAAAGTATATGTAATAACAACCAACTCTAAGTTTTCTGTATTATGGTGAAGCAATGACTTGGTCAACTTCAAATATCAAGTAATTCTCAAAAATGTGATTTATCTGTGACTACATTATCAGTGAGTCACCTGGAAATGCAAGAAATACAGTGAGTGAAAAATGAGCACTTTTGAGTTATAATGGAATTTGAGAGTTGCTCAATTCCCCCTTTACTTGCCCCTCTCTTATGTAATGTCTGCTTTTTATCCAACACTCCCTAAACTGAGGTATCTTAAAATGGCTATATCTCTTGACTTCTTTTTCTATGTCATACAAAATAATTAAATGTTTTTATTTTCCCTGTTTTTTGTTGAGCTATGAGCATCATAAAGAGGTAATTTAAAAGGAGATTATGAATTCTATGATAGGACTGTGTTGCCAGCAATAATTGAGTATGGTTTTTAAAATTTATTTTTTTTCATGGATTAGTAGCAATGCTGATAATCCTTCCAAAGTTAATTAGAAGTTAATTTGCTAATAAAATGATTAACCTTTAGGCTCCTAACAGGAAACCAAACTTGCGCCCTTTTATTTTGAATAAATAAATTCTTTAAAGTCTTTGCAAATAATTTCTTCTATTGTAAAAAAATTGACTACAGTATAATTTAAGATGATAAAAAATAAGGGAGTAAATAATACATTGTAAATAAACTCTAATAGTTACACAAAACAAAGTGGATCAACAATTGGTAAAAATGATGTAGAATGGACATCTGAAAGCATATTGGCAAAGGGAATTTCATATTCAAGTTAAAGAAAAAAACTCTTTAAAAGTAAATATTATTTTAACGACTATATTTTAATTTTGTCCATAAAATCAATCATTCTTTACTTACATACACCCTGTTTTATAATTTTGACTCTATTCTACGAAAGCACAGACATAGGAAAATGATATTTCTCTTGATGTCAATTGTGTAACATCTACATTTCCTCTCAGTCGGTACACTGTATGACATTTTACAGCGACAGAAACTAATCAGTATTCTAGCGTGCAAGACAGCTATATTATGGGTCAAATAAAAAACTAACAGTAGGATTGTGGTCATTGTTGTCCTAGAAACATTTCAATTCCAATCTGCCAGTGCACTTTCTACAACTTTACCTGAAAAAAGGTTAGTTTTAATGTACTCTTGGATATTATTAATATTGCAAGGCTCAGATATATTTGTATGCCTTGAAACTTTATAGTTTATAAATTGTTTGAATTGTAACATCACTTTCACTGTAATTATTTACTCACACATACCATTTTCTATCTATGAGAAATAACAACATAGACTTTTAAAATAAATATACCCCTTAAAATTGAAATATCTCCACATGATTTATCTCTAAATTAATTCTCACCTGGTTATTTCTTCACTAAAATAGATGAGATTCCTTAATATAAGAAGAGTTGTGAAAAGCGACTAGCATCCAAATTCTTAGGTTGCCACCAAAAGGTTAACTTTCCAAGCTATGGTTTTTATGTCAATACAATTAGGAAAATATCTGTGCCCACATAACCAGTGGCCTTGAAATCTAAATAAGATTTATTAATAATAACATTTAGGAAAAAATATAGAGTGCTATAACATATAGGACATATTTGGAAAATCCCAAATCTGGGAAGCTGTGACCTGAAAAATTTTAACGAATATACCAGTAGATCTATGGTTGTATTTAATGACTGTCAAACTGATTTACATTTTAAAATTCCATTTTTAAAAAAGCAAAATAACAAAGAAACTTTTCTGGATACTTACAGTTCCAGGGCGAGGATATGGAATTCTACCCTGATAGGAAATCAGCTGATGATTTGGCCCTTCTTTGTGGGCAAAAGGCCCATTAAACACAGTCTGTATATCGGATAAATGATACACGCACACTGCTGATCCTTTAAAAACTGAGCTAAAAAAAACAAACAGAAAGAGATCCATTTTTTGATTATTTTAATTTAAACACAATTTTAAAAATAGATGGCAAAGTTCATGATAAAAAGTTGATATAATTCTTCATGGAGAAGTTCAATTTTATAGTACACATTGTAAAGCTAAAAAGCTTCTACTATTTTGAAATAAGCCATTGATACAAAAAGCATTAAGACATTTAATTCATTCGTGAATGTAATAGACAATAAGTTATAGAAAAGTTCTTAATGTTTCTGTAATATAGTATAGGTTAAAGAAGTTTCTAACTAGTTTATCTTAGAAACAAAAAATTGATTTATTTAAAATATGAATTTGAATTCTAAATCACTATCAATACAGCCTATTATAACTTAACTGACAGAAACAAATTTCATTCATAAGAGAGTATCATCTCTTTGTCTTGACTTTTAATGTGAGAGTGTTCTTACAGGTTATCCTAAATAGTATTGGAAAAGTCTGAATCACCATTATTTATGTACTTTCCCTGCTAGTCACAGAAAGAAAGGGGATCTAAAAAGATTCATTAAGTTACCTTTAGTCAGTAAAATCCTATAAACTTAGATTGGATCCTTAATGAAAACCATTGGCATTATCACTAAGGCAGATTGATTGAAACCAACTTTTCTCCAATTCACGTATTTCTCTTAAATTAGATGCATAATGGAAACCTTAGATGGCCAATGAAAACTTATATGCCCATTGAAAAAACAAGGTATATTATTAATTATTAGCATTAATAATCAGAAGTGACCACTTAAAGTTTTTAACCTTAAGGCTATTGGTATGGGAAAAACAGAAACTAGGAAAATATTTTTTTGAAACAAACATTTTCTTCTTAAGAATTTGGTTATTTTTTTCTTTGTTGAATTCTTTGTGAATTAAATCAAACTACTTTCTTTGTTAGAACAGAAGTTAAACTTATCCCAAAGGACATCTTTTTAGATATCTTAAGGGCAAATGTAAATATGATGTAAACCAGTCTCCCTGGGGTTTTATTTCTCATTGAATGGCTATAGTTTGCAATCATATCATGTTTCCCTTACTAGAAAATACTACTAAAATCTCTACATTTTCACTTTGTAGTTGATTGTCTAATGAAAGGGACCCAGCAGATTCTGCATTCCATGCTGGAATATTATATTGAATTCTGAGTAACATTCCGAATGTAAAATAAAAAAAAATGTGTACAGGAAATGGTGAGGATATGGTGTATATAATAATTGGGCTTAGGCATTCTAGAGAATTAGAAAACATCAAATATACTTTTAAATATATTTTCAAATATATTCAAATATATGAAATACTGCCACATAGAACATAAAAACATGTTCAGCATTTTGCTAGTTTCTAAGTAATCACCTTAGATTGCTCTAGAAGTAAAAGTTGTTTAATAGAAATTTAAAAAGTTCTATTGGAATCACGAGTCTTCAAATTATTTCCTTAAAACAAAAATCATATATACTTTATTCTGCCTTATAATTCAATTTTTTCTTTCTTTGAGAAAACATCATATAATCATCATACTCTGTACAAAACTGTTTTGAAAGCATTAGTTCAGCTTATAAGCAAAAGTAACAAAACAGGAAGGTTAAATCCTTAATTCTAGGCAATTTTAAAAGTTGAAAAGAGCCTTGGCTGGTGTGGCTCAGTTGGTTGGAGCATTGTCCCATTCACCGAAAGGTCTCGGGTTCGATTCCCGGCCAGGGCACATACCCTGGTTTCAGCTTCAATGCCCAGTCAGGGTGCATGTGGGCGGTAACCAATCAATGTTCACTAGCATAATGATATTTCACTCTCTCTCTCTCCCTCTCCCTTCCTTTCTAAAATCAATAAAAGCATGTCCTCGAGTGATTAAAAAAGGATTTAAAAAATTGAAAAGAATGCTTTAGCAATAATTACTATTGCTCAATAAAGTTTATTGTTTAAATAATAAGATATAATTATTTAATAATTACCTTGATGTTGTAAAAATGCCATACACTAGTGTTGTCCTTGGGTTATCAGTTTCGAGCAGAAATACATCCTCTATAAAAGAGAAATATCATTCTTTCAAGTTCCCAAATATTAAATGTATTTTTAAAATTTACCCTAAGAAAATAACTTAAACTATGAAAAGAATTCAGAAAGAGATTCCTGCAGCATCAATCCAATTTAAAAACTAAATGAATTAAATTATAGGCACATGGTAAAATAAATTAAATAAAATGTCATACAACCACTAACAGGATTTATGAAGACTATAACATTATGGAAACCATGCTAATAAAATAATATAAGGTGAACTAGAACCATGTAACCTTAAACTATTTCTGCTGCTTTTTTTCTCTGCATTTTCTAAATATCCTTTAATGATTATATACATTTTTCTGAGGTAGGGTTAGAAGTTCTGACATGGAAGAAAACTTTTGCACAGGGACTTTTTTCTTCATACAAAATAAGAATTTTTTTGGCTTATGGTCAAAGTTGCTAGTGATATTTTAAATTAACTACTCCTCTGACAACAAGAAGTTTAAAGTATATTAAAGCAAAGACAATAAAGTAATAACCAACAAAACCTGGAAGTAACTTTCTGACAAAAAACTGCAATTAATAAACAATTGTTACGATTACAAGAAATGTCTGTTTTTAGTGACATTTTTGCAAATAAAATTCTTGTTGAGGAATACAAAGAGCTATTTATTTTAAATTCAAAGTGAATTTAGGAATATATCATGGAGAATTCAATGAACTAAATGTTTCAGCAATGCATTCAGATACAAAACAAATTTTAAAAGTATTTAAGAAATTTATTGAGAGTATCCAGACCATTAATTCAAATGGACATATTGTTTATGCTGAAAACATCCATGTAAAATACATCCTCTCCTGAGAGTTTATTATTAAATTTTATAAACTTTACAAAGTCTCTTTCAAACATTTTTCAGATTCACATCTATGTACCTAATTCATCGAAGTGTGTTTCCGGGCCGTCTTCATCGGTTACCGAGCACACCAGCCTCGCTTTTAGGAAGGTAGTCCACTTGTTGACAAGGCTGCGCAGTCCACCCGTGTCATTCTGAAACCGTTTTGTGAACACATTTCAGTTTGCTTAAGTAAATACTGAAGTCTATTACAACTTGAATTTGTATTAGTTGGGGACTTGAAATCTGAAGGATGACTATGTTAACCATATTTGAATATCAATAGTTAGAGAGGAATATTTAAGATATATAGTATGTTATAAAATAGCCATAGGTTATATACTATTATTCTTCTACAGTGTTGTATCAACTGGAAATGTTTTAGAAAAGAATTGAATGAATATATTTTCTAAAGCTTTATAAACATAACAATAAATGATGGAAATATTTGTAAAATTGTTACAGAACATAGGTAATTTAATGTGCCTTTTCTTTACACCGCATTATTTCCAATATGAATATTACTGTATACAGTGAGTTTGCAGATCCTACTGTGGTCAGCAGAGTTGATTTATACTTAACACCAAATGGCCCCCAATAGTTCTAATTTTCTCCTTCATTTTCCTGTGTTAGCCTTTACTCCTCAGTATACCCAGTCAGATGCTTTAATATACATATTTCCCCAAATAGGGCAGGGAAAATGGTATTGGGATCATTCACCAATAGTCTCTATTGATAACATATTTGTTTGTTTTTGTATGCCCAGCAGCCTTCCACTCCTTCTGCCGGCTTTGCCGCCTTACTGCAAGTGATTGAGAGGCAGGTGAGTTCCACTATCAGTGGAGCAGTATAATATTGAAAAGTATTTTAAACACTAAATGCTTTAAGAAATAATTCTGCACAAAGGATGCTAATCATAAATGTCAGGAAAAGCCTGTAAAACTCCTGTATGAGTAGATATCATGATTTTTTTGAGCTACTATATATACTTACTGTTAAAACAAAAAAATTTGGTTACTGTTTATAATTATATTTTATGAAAGCCTTCCTTTACATTTGCTGTTGTAGATAGCTCCTCAGTAATTATCTTTTAATAAAGTTTCCCTATATTTTATTCACAATAATTATTCTGTTTCTTTCTATAATATAAAATTTAGCTATTTGTAATACTAATAATTAAATGAAATAGCAAAATTAATCAAAATTATTTATTTATATAAACCCACAACCAAAATATTTCTATGAATTAAACTTTATGTTGAAATATGGTATTTATCTCTTATGAGAGATGTGAATAAACATTAAGTTCAAATGTCTCCTATTAATATTTGATTAATTTATAATAGTAGATAATAAAAGTAGAAAAGTAAACTATTAGAAAAAGAAAAAAATTACATAACTTAATTTTTTAGTTTTTCTTCAAATTATAATAGTCAAAGCAATCTTGAGAAAGAAAAACAAAACTAGAGGTATCATACTCCTAGTTTTCAAGCTATTATATCAAGCTAAGGTACTGGGATAAAATAGACAAATAGATCAATGGAATAGAATAGAGAGCCCAGAAAAAAAACCCATGAATATATGGTCAATTAATTTATGACAAAGAAGTCACAAATATAAAATGGGGGGAAATCATTTCTTCAATAAATGGTGTTGGAAAAAATGAACAGCCACATGTAAAAAAAAAAAGAAAGAAGGAAGGAAGAAGGAAGGTAGGAAGGGAGGCAGGGAGGGAGGAAGGGAAGAAGGAAGAAAGGAAGGAAGGAAGGAATGAACTGGACTATTTCCTACACCATACAAAAAAGTTAACTCAAGCCCTATCTGGTTTGGCTTAGAGGATAGTATGTTGGCCTGCAGACTGAAAAGTCCCGGGTCCAATTCCTGTCAAGGGCTCATGCCTGGGTTGCAGGCTCGATCCCCAGTAGGGGGGCATGCTGAAGGCAGCCGATTAATGATTCTCTCTCATCACTGATGTTTCTATTTCTTCTCCCTCTCCCTTTCTCTCTGAAATCAATAAAAATATATTTTTAAAAACTTAACTCAAAATGTATTAAAGACTTGAAAGTAATACCAGAAACCACAAAAATCCTAGAAGAAAATAGGTGGTAAGTTCCTTGACATAGGTCTTGGAATGATTTTTTAAATTGACCCCAAAAGTAAAGTAACAAAAGCAAAATATACAAGTGTAACAACCTCAAACTAAAAAGCTTCTGCACAGAAATGAACACTATCAACAAAATGAAAAGGCAACCTACTGAATGGAAAACCATCCTTTATAATAAAAGGGTAATATGCAAATTGACCCTAACAGCAGAACAACTGGGAATGACTGGTCACTATGACACACACTGACCACCAGGGGGCAGATGCTCAATGCAGGAGCTGTCCCCTGGTGGTCAGTGTGCTTTCACAGGGGGAGCTTTGCTCAGCCACAAGTCAGGCTGATGGCTGCCAGTATAGCGGTGGTGGTGGGAGCTTCTCCCACCTCCTCAGCAGCGCCTAGGATGTCCGACTGCAGCTTAGGCCTGCTCCCTGCTGGCAAGTGGACATCCCCCCAGGGCTCCCGGGCTGCCAGAGGGATGTCTGATTGCCAGCTTAGGCCCAATCCCCTGGGGAGCGGACCTAAGCCAGCAGATAATCATCCCCTGAGGGGTCCCAGACTGTGAGAGGGCACAGGCCGGGCTGAGGGACACCCCCCCACCCCCCTGTGCACAAATTTTTTGCACTGGGCCTCTAGTTTGTAAATCATATATCTGATAAGGGATAATATCCAAAATATATAAAGAATCCATACAACTTAATAACAAAAAAATCAATTACAAATGGGCAGATCTGAATAAATATTTTATCAAAGAAGACATAGACATACAGATGGCCAACAAGTTCATGAAAAGATGCACAACATTGCCAATTACCAGGGAAATGCAGATTGAAACCACATTGAGATATCACTCCACACTTGTTAGAATGGCTGTTATTAAAAAGACTAGAGGTCCAATGCAAGAATAGGCCTTCCTTCCCCTGGCTGCTGACACTGGCTTCCCTCTGGCACCCGGGACCCGGGCTTCCCTCCGACCATGGGCAGGCACCCAGGACCCGGGCTTGCCTCACAGCCCTGGCTTTGTCTGGAAGGATGTCCAGTCTAATTAGCATATTATGCTTTTATTATTATTAAAAAGATAAAAAATAAAAAGTGTTGGCAAGGATATGGAGAAAAGAGAACCCTTGTGCACTGTTGGTGGGAATATGATTTGTTGCAACCAATATGGAAAATAGTGTGAAGGCCCGACTGGTGTGACTCAGTGGTTGAGTGTCAGTCAGCCCATGAACTAGGAGGCTGTGGTTTGATTCCTGGTCAGGGCACATGCCGGGTTTGTGAAGCACATCACTAATCATCAGGGAAATGCAAACCAAAACTACAATGAGATATGATCTCACAACTTTTAGAAGGGCTATTATTAAAAAGACAAGAAATAATAAGTATTGGTAAGTATGTGGACAAAGGGAAACCTTTTTGTTCTTTTGGTAGGAATGTACATTGGTACATATGAAAGAAAATAGTGTGAAGATTCTTCAAAAAATTAAAAATAGAACTATCAAATAATCTAGCAATTCCACTTCTGGTTATTTATCTGAATAAATGGAATACTAATTAAAAAAGATATATGACCCCATTGCATTATTTATAAGAGCCAAGAGAGTGAAACAACCTCAGTGTCTACCAACAAATGAATGGATAAAGAAATGAGGCATATAAACACAATTATCAGGGAAATAATATTACTCAGCCTAATCTTATTGTTCATGATAATGTAGATTCGCATTATGCTAAATGAAATAAGTCCTACAGAGAATGACAGGTATGTATGCTCTCCTTTTTATGTGAGACCTAAACAAAAGCAATTAAAACAGCTCATGGATACAAGAACAGATCAGAGGCTGCAAGAGACGAGTGAGGTGTGGTAGAACTGGTTAAAATGTGTGAACTCTGTTGTTTTTCTTTTGGGGGGTGTTTTTTTTTGGTTGCTTTATTTGTTTAGTTTAAATAAATTGAATTTTAAAATGTTGATACTTACAGGACATATTCTAGCGATCATGGAGTGAATCTGCTTTGTACTTCTGCTATTGTCAGTCAGCTTCTCCTTGAAGAAAAAGTAAATCTTAGCATCGTTTGGATCAGTTCCATCTGGGATGACATGTGCATCCACAAACATAGGTTCTGAAAAAGAAATACAGAGACTATAATATATTCATGCGAAAAATCCATCTACTGTTCATCCAAGTAGACCACAGACACATGGTTTCTCCATCTTTGGTGTAAAACAATAATTTGATGTTCACAGGCAGAAAGTATAAAAGCAGTAATTGTATTCAGACAACATATCGCATTTCAAATGTCAAGTGCCACAAAATATAGTTACAATATGACAGCTCAAACTATTTTTCTCTGTATACAATATATTCTGGAAGTTCAGTAAATGCAAAAAAAAAAACCCCACCTTTGTGCACTGATGAGTTTTAAAAATTTGAAAAACTATTCTACCAGTTATTTCCCTTGGAATCTGACAGTCAGTCGTTTTACGGGGGGGAAAAAAGGTTTGTTTTTCAAAGTGTGGTTTTCAATCTAGTGCATATAAACTCAAATTCACCGAAGCAGAATGAAATGAGGAGTTGGGAGTCCAAGATCTGAAAAACACATTTTTCTTAAAATACAGTATATGAAATAAAAGGGAAACTTTTCAAGGAAAAAAGTGACGTCATTTGAAGACATAGAGGGATTCCTTATTTCAAGAACAAAACAACTCTTAGGGTATTCTATTTCCAGATGTACCAGAGGAATAATCTGAAGAAGAAAATGGACAATCAACTCTTTCTTGTGCTGGCCTATCAGTGAAACAAGATGCTTTACTGTGGTGATTCATGCTTAACTGTGCAATGGTAAGTAAATTGCCAAATTTAGGGTGAGCTAGAAATTTCCCCCAGGGTGAAATGACAAAGACCTCAGTGGTTTCTTTCTCTTCTCAACAACAGGAACTCAATGAAATTGTGCATTAAAGTCAAATGAGCACCTTTCATGATGTGAATTCCATGTGATCCTAAGAGCTGGAAGCAGCTGAATACTGATAATCATAAAATTATTATAACTATGATTTCTATTAAATCTTAGTCAAATTATGAAAAAATAATATATACCAGTTTTATAATTTAGAATCTAAGTATAAAACAAATATAGTTTCTGAATATACCCTATTCACTTTATCTTCATAAATTTAGAGAACTTTTAGCTTTGACATTATTAACACATACAATCTAAATGAATAAATAACATATTTAATTATAATATGTTACACTTAAACAATTAGAGAGGATTCTTGTGTACAAGCATGTATGATGAATATCAGTCATTTTTAAAATTTATATATTCTATAATAATTGTGTGGTGATTAGTAAAGAGTTAGAATATGACTATTTCAATTATTTACTTATCCTAAACTTTTAAAATCATAAAGTCAGAATTACTGTTACTGATGACAAGGCCATGTAATTCTTTATCTTTTTACCATTTTTTACCTAATTTTTATTATGGAACTAAACAAATTAGTCTAAAGCATAATTCTAAAAAAATGTATAAAATGTTTTCTTACCACTTAGCCATTTGGAATTGTGTTGATCAGTTCTGACTGCATTCCTTTTAGTTAAACTTCGAAAAATAGCAGCATCTGTCCCCATGAAATCTATATACATTCCAGAGAAAAGTTCTTCATCTATGTAAAAGAAATTATCAACACAATGTAAATGTTTTTAAGGCTATCTGAAATATCAAGGAGAACTTGCTTAATTAGATTAGTACACATATTACAGTGTTTATAATTGTTAATTGGTTTACATTATCCACCAAATAAAAAGTTGGTAAAGTTTAATCTGGTCTCATTATTGACTGTATGGCTACCAAAATGACTTTATTCTACGAAGAAATAAAAATTCCTCTGCCTGTACTTAATAATACGAAATGCCTATGTTTATAGTGTGTATCAGAAATGGCAGAAATAATATATGTAACATATTATAAAAGATAACAGAATGGCTTAATTATTACTGTGTTTTAATAAAAATACTGTAAGAGTCAGAAAACTTGCTTTGTATATTTTGGGCAGTAATTAGCAAACTGGGAATTAGGACTAAGTCATTTAGCTCCCTGAATCACAATCTTCTCATCTGTAAAATATGGGAACTGAATTATGGATCTGAAAAGTCCTCACCACATATTTAAAATTCTATGATTATACTAAAGGGATTGAGATTAATAGTTTTTATTATTATTAATGACATGGAGGCAACATTAAAATTAGTCAAAATACTATTGATGTAATAATGTCATCATTAAAAGTATACACTTTGATTTTCAGTGCTAGAAGGTTGCTACAAGATAATCAAAGTTCTCTATTTTCATTTGCAAAACAATATATTAAAATTATGGTAAAAATATAATATTATGTTACTAAACTACATATGGCTTAACATAACCCATGAGAAATAGAATGCAGAGACAAGTAAAGATATTTTTAAATTAAATTATCATTATTGAGAGCAAAAACAATTATTTTAATCTGTATATACATAACATTTAACATTTAGTTTATCCATATTAATTTTCATGCTAGGAAAGAGAGTAGATATTGAATGGGTATGTGTGACCCTTGAGAATAAAACAGTAGCTAAATATCTATTTAAAAGAGAATAAAATTTATCAGGTCTGTCCCACTAAACCGCCATGCAGCTGTGCTCTTCGACTACTGTTCTAGAATTACTTCTTGGCTACTTTCAGATTGTGGTCATTTTGGCAGAACTGGAACATTTTGAAGCACTCTAAGCTCACTGTTTAGTAACAAGCACTACCAATTGGCCCAGGATAGAATGAAGAATGGAATGTTTTTAATATGTGCTCACTAGGTCATGAAACTGACCCCTACACGTTAGCAATTGGGCATGGCAGGTATTGTGTCTCCAGTGTGGCTTCCTCACAGGGTCTAAAGCCCATGGAAATTGATTATAGAGACAGAACAAAAATGTGCAGGAAAGCATTTTGAGTGGTTTAGTTTCTTTAAAAATTATGTGGGCATTTATGAAGCATCTACACAAGTATTCTGTTGATACAATGGTTGTTAAATTGAAATAACTTCGCAATTAATCATTTCATACTGTAGCTATACCCAGTTATCCTCCAAACAATGGGTTATAAAACTCTGTTATGTAATATACTGACTAGCACAGCTATCAATTATCATCTCTGTATCCAGGAAGGAAAGAATAAAGGATACTGGAGGATGGTGTATGATGCAGAGGGCTGATTCTAATCCTATTACACACCACTTTATTAGTTATGTCTTAAACATTACGGAAGCTTGCACGTCTGACTGACTTCATTTCCTGTCTTAAATTCTTAATAATTGGGAATAACAAAGTGCCTGCTTTATTTTGTATAAGAAATATTTAATTAATGACACTTTAGGACGAATTTTGAGAATAGAGTATTTTATGAAGGATTTCTTTGTAGGACTTATGCAAAGATAAACTTGTGCCTTTTCTCTTTAATCCAAAAATATTTTGCTTTCCAATTGCACTTCCACTACCAGAAAAACCATATGAGGTTTTTGATCGGCTCCTTAAAAGATATCACCTGACTTCTTTGTTGTGCTACAACAATAACTAAAAATAGCAAAAGAACATTAAACATACATATCTGGTTGGATGTCACAACCACATTGTGAAGTTTGGAATTAAAATTCACAATGTTTCTTGGAATATCTTAACAAATATGTGTTACTTAGTGGATTGCAGTTGAACAGAAATGACCAAACACTGTATAGCAAAGTGAGAGGACTATACAGGTCTATTACACAATATTGGAGATGACAATGGAGATGATTTTAAAGAAATAATCAATAGAACAAATAAAATTATAAATATAAGCTTATCAAGCTTCCTGCTCATTTTGGTTTCAGGTTTTCTCTCCTAAAATATATTTTTGTTGATTTCAGAGAGGAAGAGAGAGGAAGAGAGAGATAGAAACATCAATGCTGAGAGAGTTTCATTGATCGGCTGCCTTCTGCACATCCCACACTGGCAATTGAGCCCACAACCTGGGCATGTGCCCTGACCGGGAATTGAACCCTGACCTCCTGGTTCATAGGTCGACGCTCAACCACCAAGCCCCATCAGCGGGCTGATTGCAGTTTAATGAATTTCAGTGATAGTATAAATTATAATGTTGATCAAAGTATTAAAAGGCATTATAGAAACATCAGCATAAGAATTGAAGTCTCAGGTCCTTAAAAATGAAGGCCAATTAAATTCAATTTTGTAAAAATATCCAAGTCTCTAAAGGCAAAACTATTAAATGGCTTATCACATTTTAACACTAAGATTCATAGTGCCTTGTTCTAACGCTTATTGTTCTAAACAGTATTTGATGAGATAAAACTATAGTGTTAGTGCTAATCTTTGAAATTTATTTCCATAGCATAGCATTTAGCTTGAAATGAATGAAAACTCTATCTATTTAACTAGTATATATACATACATGTAATATTAGAATTTCTAAAGTATTTAAAAAAAGACTTTTTAAGACACTGCTATTAAATATTTAGAAACTTATCTGAAAAGTCCTTGCATCAGACATATTTGGATATCTTGTGGTTTCAAAGGTTTCTAATTTTTCTGTCGTAATTATATACTTTCATCTCCTCTTTGTCCAATTTGAATGACCGTATGGACATAATTCACTGGATAACTTCCAGGGCCACATTTTAGTCAGTGCTAGATGTACCTGTCTTAATTTAGTTTCCAGATATGAGCCCGATGTGTTGCCTCTTTAAATGAATCAAAGTAAAGCACTGTGACCACAATAATTATTTTTCCACCTGTTCTCTTGTCAAATGATATAATTTTACTATCGGCAACACATACAGGAAGCAAACAGGGGAAAGCATCTACTGTATAGTTGGCACTGGGATCCCCGATTTGTCCTTACAGTCAATTCATGTTAAACCAGACATATTCTAGAAGCGTCGTCACTAACCAGAAGGGAATGTCTTTTAAGTTATAGAAAGGCATTCGATGATTGAGACTCAAAGACATTGATTTGTCAACATACGTAGCAGCAAGCAATTGGGCCTGCTACTTAACTGATATATTTTATGGAAAACGAGAAAATAGAAAAGCGATTTTACCACCAGCTCTTGTTTTAGTATAGCAACTTCTAGACAATCCATAAGAATATATTTGGCTAACCCATGTACTCTGTTAGTCTTTCATCAGAGAGTAACATCATTTTTAATAATTTGTAAAAGATTACTAAAACATGAGGAAAGTGGGTATATTTAATACTAGAAAAATAACTACAGGAAACATTGAAAATTGTTTTATAATATATATATATATATACACACACATATATATATATATGCATGTTTTTTTGTAAATTGTTGACTTGCTCTAGGAATGAGAGTACTGTTGTGTTCAATGAAAAAATACATGCTTATTATGAATATTCCTGAACATGAGAAACTAAAATTTCTATTTCTCAGCATAAGCCTTTCTTCCTATTATTTTACTCATGTACTATCATCCATACAATTATCAAAAATGGGCATACCATGTCATGAATTATTTTTCCTTAATTTCCTTTTTATTTTCTATTTCTCACTGCCTCCTTTATTTTTCACTTACTGATCATAACAGATACTGTGTTCACATTGGGGTTGAAAGAGCAGCGTCCTTTTCCAGATTCACACTTGGAGTCAATCATGAAAACTTGGTCCTTTATTGTAGATAAAATTTAAAAGATAGTAATAATAAATAACATTATTTTAGTTAATCAATTGGCCTTTAGTAAAACAAAGCATCATCATAAATAATAAGCTTTATACTTAGTTGCTTATGCCTTCCCAATTCACTGTATTAAGACTTTCTTGGCCTGTAGACAAATGCATCTATGAATTACAAACTAACCTTAGTAGATCAAATTCTCATTCTATTACACTCCCCATAAAACTGATCCAACAAGTTTTCCTCAAAGCAACATTATTAAAACCCACTTAAAATTACAATAAGACTGTTTTAAAAATAAAATTTGTTACCACTTAATTTTGTTATGTACATCATTATGCTAAGTTAAGCAATAATTCATAATTTAGATTAAAATGTTTTATTATTTATTTATTTAACAAAATATATCGACCATCTACTCTGTGCCAGGCACTGACAATACGTTAGGGATACAGTAAACAAAATAGACAAACATCTTTGCCTTCAAGTAATTTATAATATACTGAGGGAGAATATAAATAGGTATATATAAAATATAAAGAGAATAAATATATAAAATATAAGTCTGTTAGATGATGCTCAGTGCTTAGGAAAAACATTAAGCAAGGAATGGGAGTAGGGAAGTGCAGGGACTATGAGCAAAGATTTCAATAATGATCAGTGCAGCTTCAGTGAGAGGGAACATCTTGTTGGTATACGTAACTTTTTCTAGGTAAGTTAGTAAAAGTGACTACTAAAATTCTAAGAAAAAGATTATCACTTTTGTTGGTTGCATTAGATGATGGCAGTCCTTAGGTGTCAAGCTAAGGTTTTTCAAAATTATCCTGATAAAATTGCATTCCATATTTACTCTAGATATGTATATAAATACAATATTATGATGAAACCCTTTGACTTGTCTACTAAGGAAAGCATTAAAAAGATTAAAATTCATAACCCTTTCCATACTTAAGTTGACTCTTCAATGTTCACATATTAATTAATGGACATGCTTCCCCTTTTAAATAGATTTTTTTGAAATGAGACTGTAGTAGTTCATATTGGATAAAGTGATTAAAATTCATTCCATGCTGGTTTTCCATATGAGATTTTTTTTTTTTTTACTGACTTTTGCATTTAAGCCTTGAAGTGCATAGTGGGCAATCTGTACGTGGGAAAATGATTGCATTTGAAACGTGTGCTCTGAAAAGGGCTGTGCTATTGGTGGCCTCTGCAGTGACTGTGCAGTCTTCAGTAAAGGGTCTGACAGATTGCAGACGTCTAGGGCAGTAGTTTATTTATCAGTTGATCACAGGCATGTGGTTCTAATGACAAGCTCAATGCAGCCAACTGTACTCTTGCAAGAAGCATAGCTTTACATTTAAGAACTTTAATACTTCATCTTGTTTTGAACCACTTGGAGATGCATCAATATGGGGTCAAGTGATAATTACTCAGTTATTTTTAAGTGATTTTTTATTCAACAATATATATATAAAACTTCTCTGGAGTTTTGTAGGCCATTTACCATATATATAAATATGTTACATACATGAAAAAATTAATAATAAAGAAATACAGAGAGATTATTCAATTATATTCATACTAAGTAGATTAACCTTTGTTAAAGAAAAATGAACCTAAGATATATCAGTAGCAACATTTAATCTTTTTTTTACAATTCTAATCTGTAAAATTGAATTTAGACATTAAGAACTGGACTTTCAAGGCTTAAGATGCATAATAAAATCAAAGCAAGATATTATGAAATAATTCAGTTTTTAAAATATTTATATTAAATATGACATGTTTGACTAAAAGAATCCGGAAAATCTCTTTGGGACTAATGAATTGTTTCCTTAATCAATAATTGTAAACTGGGATAAACACAGTCTTAAATATCACAGGTGAAGTTGAACCAGCCACATATTTGACTGTACATTAGCTGTATATTTACTCTCAGAAGATACTTTTATTCAAATATCCCCAAATCATTTTAACCAATGTAAGAATAAGGCTAGAAAACCCTCGTAGACCAATGTTACTCTAAATGAAAGTGTGATTTATTAATTATATAAAGTTCTCTTCGGCTGGCACTTACAGTTGTGTATTTCATAAAAGTTTATTAAATTTGAAACATAATAAGAAATTGTTTAAAATAGATTTGAGAAAGTGAATGTATAATATAATATTTCTATAATTTGCATTAATATTATCAATGCCTTACATTCTAAATAATTATGAAGCCACACCATTTTTTCCTTTATCTTTTGCAGCATTTCCATTCAGATATATATATAATGTTTAAAGGCAAAAGGCTGTATTTTAAGTAACCTGATGGCCAGAAACAAAATGTAATATATTTTGTGTTTACAGGGCTTGAAACTTTTTTATGACTATTGATATTTCCAAGATTTAACTCTAAAATACAGTTTTAAGCAACCTTTGACACTAAGCAGAACAAAGAATGAAAAAAATGTTACACTCACCTCTGATCTCCTCCCTCTGTTCAAATAAGTACAGACTGGGCTGAAAGCACCACTCCCACAAACATACAGATGAGTGCGGTTGAACGCCTGAATTACACGGACGAAGTTCCCACAACCATGCTGAAAGAATAGGTAAAGAAGTGCTTAGTAACGATTTTATTGCTATTCCTAAGCATTACTGTGAAACTTTGCTTTGTATTTTTCTTTCTGCTCTCACATGTTCGGAGATAGTAAGAGAACCACATTGGTTACACCATTGCTTTATTTCGGGTGGAAGGTAGGCCAACTTAGATAATGAGTAAAGTGATATATCTCTCTCATCTTTCTCTTCTGTATGCTATGTAAGTTTTTATTTTCTGAAACTTAATGAACTTAATTTTTACCTAAGATTAAGTACAGCAAATTGTTTCCTCAAATTTTTTTCAAAACATACACACACATACACATTTCATATAAACATGAATTAAGTGAAATTGTGCTTATACAAGGCCTGTACTACCTTTAGTACACAATGGCAAGCACTATTGGCCTTTACAATTGGTGAATAAAACAAACCTTGAAGGAAATGCCAAACTTATTGCTTTCTGTGAAAAATGATGCAATTTTTCTCTCTCTGCCTGTAACCCCCTAAAATACTTTCTTCAAAATCTCCTTTCTCACCTGTTCCCAGTCCAATCATTAGACATTGTCATTTATTCTCTCAACAACAAAAAATCATTATAGTAATTATAAGCTGACTATGGCCTTGCAGAAGTACATAAATATGGCCATCAACAAACGCATATCTGTCACTGAAGGGACCATTGCATGCTCTGTGTTTACTAGGCTCACTATCCTTTGCTGACTACAAATTAATCCAGCCTGAGATTACATGTTGTTCCCTTCACAGTTACTTTTTCTCTCAAAGAACATTATTAAAAATAATGTTACAAATCAAAGATAAATATTTTAATAAAAATATATGAAAAGATAACAGTAGTTTTCCCAGGGGTGGTGAGAGACCATCGATGTTCTTTTATACTCTCTTCTAGGTATCATGTATTTTATTTATTGTTTATAATGTACATGCATTACTTACATTATTAGTAAAGTAAAAACACAAATTTTACTAAAAAGGAAGCTACATTTAAAGTCAATGTTATTTTATATTTTCCATCATTTCCTCCTTTCATATTCATTATTACTTGATAGTAAGTATATGCTTATTTTTATATGTGGTAATTTTCTACACATGTTTCTATTATAGGTTTTTATTATCAAATAATCAATCATTAACTTTGCTGTCAAAAAATTAAACCTTATAGACCAGACTACACAGTTTATTTTTATTTTAAGACATTAAGGATTTTTGTTAAATATATAATGTCACAGTATCTTGACACCTGTTTATAGAGGTTCCTGGAAATTGACTATATAACCACAGATGATAATGTGTTTCTCGGGAGAAAAAGCATAGATGATGTATGGTGTGTATATAATATGTCTATGTTAAGGGTATCTGTGAGCAATGAGACTTGTGTTTATTTTTTTCACATTCAAAGTTAGTCATTCTGGGGTTCTGTATATACTATTTTTCCATAAGACATGAACTCAACCCAACTCTATTAATAATAGGTTATGTCTGTCTTCTCTGGAGTTTTGTAGGCCATTTACCATCATGAATTACTGGTATTAGTTAAAAGTCACTAATATTTCTTTTATATTTCAAATACAGTTTATACTTATTTTATCTATTTTATATCTATGTATTAGATACATTGATATGTTTATTATGGCTAGTAATTGTTGAGAATTTATTATGTGGCAGACAGTGGAATAATCATTTCATATATTTAGCCTCTTTTAATTCCCAGGAGGTTTGATTTTTTTTTTTACCTTTATATCTCACATTTATTTAGCATATAATACGCTACTTAGGCACTTAACATTCACTCATTTTTTTTTTTTACAACTCAACCGCTTTTAGAAAAATAAAGCTTAGAACAGTTTTAGTTAACTTGCCTGAGGATATATAGCTAGAAAAGGGTAAAGCAGATTTTCAAACACAGATGTGCCTAACACATCTTGTATTTTTAACCTCTTCAAAATCTGTAATTGTGTTTGGAATCTATAGTTATTAGAAGGGAGTTTTTATAACTGTTACTAATGTCTAAAGAGCTCTTCCTTGGATGTTGTTTTTAATCTTTACAACAGTGTTCCAATTAAAGTATTAGTGCCATTCTAGAGATAAGGACATTGAATTTCAAAGAGGTTAAATGAAATGCTCTAGGTTTAATAAGTAACTGAGCTGGCTCTTGAAACACTCCGCCCTCCACCATCCAGCTTTTCTATAGGAAGGTGCCCAGTGTGCCCCTCCAACCTCCCCTTACAGAGAAAAACCCCAAAGGAAAAACAAAGCAGCTGAGTTAATTATTGAAAATCATGTTCTAGGTCATTTCCGTTTCCATTGTTCTGCCTTAGTTTCTGAATACATTATTTCTGACCTAGACCATTTCATTCAGCAAATATTTATACACTCAGTCAAGCACTGTACATAGTACTGAAAACACTGGAAATAATAGATTCAATTCCTACTGTCAGGCTATAGTAGATGCTGTAATAGGGTTATATTTTTCAAAAGGTGCTACAGAAGGAAAGAAGAGAATGAGGAATGCGGAACTTGGTGTAAAGGTTTGAAGGGGGTGTCATTGCAGAATGAGCTAGAGATTTTGACAGGCAAAAGCATAAGGAAAGATGTTCTAACAAAACAGCAGAGCATGAATTAAAAACAGGCAAGGCAGTGCAGGACTTACTTGGTGAATAGTGCCTAGAAGAGACAGAGGATTATTGTCCGATGAAACAAGAGAGACAATTAGAGTTGGTCTGTCATCATGCCATAGTATGTATGTATGTATGTATGTATGTGTGTATGTATGTATATATATATGTGTGTGTGTGTGTGTGTGTGTGTGTGTGTGTATGTTGATTTTAGAGAGGAAGGGAGAGGGAGAGCGAGAGAAACATCAATGATGAGAGAGAATCATTTATCAGCTGCCACCTGTATGCCCTACACTGGAGACCAAGCCCACAACCCGAGCATGCGCCTTGACTGGGAATCAAACCATGATCTCCTGGTTCATAGGTTGACAACCACTGAGCCATGCCAGCCGGGCATCATGCCATATCTTTAGCTGGGCATAGAGAGTGGATTTAGGTATACAAATCTCAGAGCTATTAAAAAATCTGTCTTTATCTTTAACTAGCAGTTTGTACTTGAGGCATTTATGTAATTTCTCTGTGCTTCAATCTTTTTATCTACGAATGGTGATGATAGTATTTGTTGTGAGCAATATAGAGGCAAAAGTACATTTACAGTTGTTTATATGGAAGATATACAATAGTTAATTAAATAGTAATACAAGAATAAACTGTTTTTCTTGATCACAACTGTAAACCTACGTTTGCCACACCCTGTATAATAATAAAGCACTTGGAATAGTTTCTGGCAAATAAATATACACTGGGTTAAATATTAGACTCTTTCACACACATTTTCAATTCCAACTGCCAATACAAACCTGTGAAGTAAATAGGGCATTTGTCCTGCACAGAGCTTAGTATATAGGCCCTGACCATAATAGGCATCCGTGAAAGGTTTGGGGAATGAGACTTCAGTGAAATTCAGCACCATGCAGGCTTTCTTTTAATTGTTTAACTCTATTTTGAAAGTATTTTCTGGTAAAATGTTAAATGTAAAATGAAAAATCAGGCTGCTAACATTATGCAGAATATAATGTCCTTTTATTCATATACTATATATGTCACGTAATAAAATGCTGAAATAGCCCTAGCTGGTTTGGCTCAGTGGACAGAGCATCGGCCTGCAGACTGAGGGGTCCCTGATTCAATTCCTGTCAAGGGCACATGCCCAGGTTGCGGGCTCAATCCCCAGTGGGGGATGTTGTAGGAGGCAGCTGATTAATGATTCTCTCTCATCATTGATGTTTCTATCTCGTTCTCCCTCTCCTTTTCTCTCTGAAATCAATAAAAATATATTAAAAAATAAAATGCTGAAATAATATACCCCAATTTTTAATGTACTATATTTGGATAGTGAATTTATTTTATTTACTTAACAGAAATATAGTATTTACTGTGTGCTATATGCTTTTCTTGGTCTTTTAAATTTCTATATTAAACATATATTAGTTGCATAATTTAAAAACAGACGTTTCTAAAATATATTCTGGATCACAGATGAATAGGGTATTAAAAATATTGACTTTTCATGGTCCATACTATGCAATGGGGTCGGGGGAGGAGTGGAGAGGGACTATTATTTTTCCGCCTACAATTCTTTTTCCTTTGGTCTGATTAAAGCATGCTTCTCTGTAGGTATCTTGGATGTATGAAATGAGATGGATTTGTCAAACATGCTCTTATTTAGCACAGACAGAGCATTTATTTGAAAGCATTAGTTTGATTGCTATTTCCCAGGACTCAACAATTTTGGCTGTACTAGAACAGAACCCTCCACCAGTTACTTACATTGTGTATACTAATTGGCTCTAAGGCAGAATTTAAAGATATCTATGAATGCCATTACAGTATGACAAAACTATGGGAAAACATAAGCATGTATTGAAGATTTTATCTAATGACTTTTAATTACAAGAGAGCAAATAACAGAGCCTTTTAATTTTGCCAAAGAGAGAAAGAAATTTAATGACTTAGCTAAGATTCTTTAGAAAATCAACAGCAAGTTTTGGAACAAGAACGTGCAAAGGTAACCAAATCCTACATATCCTGTATAAATGGGAAATAAAAATCTTTTTGAACAAAGGACAATTAAATCCAGTAATTATAGCCACAGGATATTACTGCGGCAAAAAGCCACTCCTGGTGAGCTCTTGCCAAGAACACCTTCCAGTGAGACCTGGAGATTCAACATTCCAAGTTCTTCCTTGGACCTGCACTGAGCCTGACCTTTTTAGAACCTGAAACCTGGGACTATTAAGAGTCAATGAAAATAAAAAGCTCATTTCCACACTTTCTCCTTCCACAAGGGTTATTTAGTCTTTTTTTCTTTGATCCAATCTGATGAATCTCTGAAGTACTTATTACCAAGGCTCAGCCCACAGCCTTCTCTCCTAAAATCAGCATTTCTTACCTCTATACTTATAATGAATGCTACACTTACAATGGAAAGTGTTTAGTCAACACTAACTCAAGGCTGTTATTTGACCTTAGTCCTGATTGTGTGTGTGTGTATATACATTTATTAGTTTGCTACCCAATCACCATATTTCAATCTCACACCTGAATCAGGATGTATTTCCATGCTTATTAAATTAACTAGAGGGGAGGGAGGGGTCGCTCAGCCCAGCCTCTGCCCTCTCACAGCCTGGGACCCCTCGAGGGATGTCTGCTTGCTGGCTTAGGCCCGCTCCCCATGAAGGCCAAAGCTGGCAGGTGGACATCCCTCGAGGGGTCATTAGCACTCCCGACACCACTGCTGCATTCACCAGCCTTGAGCCCAGCTTCTGGCTGAGTGGCCTCTCCCTGTGGGCACTCCCTCCGGCGTTGAGCGTCTGCCCCTGATGGTCAGTGCACGTCATAGCAACCGGTCATTCCACCGTTCAGTCAATTTGCATATTAGTCTTTTATTATTTAGGATGTTGACTTCTCCAACAAGGTAATAAAGTTTATGAGAGTCAAATATGTCTATTTTAGCAGAAAATTGTATCTCTAGCAATTAACATTATGCCAGATGCATAGTAGGTATCAGTATTTTTTGAAAAATGATTGAAAGAATGAATTATCTAAAGAAACTTCTGCCCTGGCTGGGTGGCTCAATTGGTTGGAGGATTGTCCCATACATCAAAAGGTTGCAGGTCTGATCCCAAGTCAGGGCACATACTTAGATTGCACTTTCAATCCCAAGTTGGGGTGCAAACAGGAGGAAACTGATTGAAGTTTACCTCTCACATCAATGTCTCTCCCTTTCTCTCTGTCTCTCGCTCTCCCTCTCTCTCTAAAATCAATAAACATGTCCTTTGGTGATGATTAAAAAAAAGAAACTTCTTTTTTTAAGTATCTTTTAAAAAATGTATATCAGAGAGAGGAAAGAAGAGGAAGAGAGAGAAACATCAATAATGTCAGAGAATCATGGATTAGCTACCCCTGCATGCTCCCTACTGGGCATGTGCCCTGACCGGGAATTGAACCCTGACCTCCTGGTTCATAGGTCAACATTCAACCACTGAGCCACACCAGCCGGGCAACCAAGTTATTAATATAAGAACAAGTAATCTTGATACTTGGATCTATTATGTTATTTTTTTCATGATTTGAAATAAGGTGAAATGACATATATGCTTCATTATAAGCATTAAATGACTTGTGCACATTAGATATTTTTTCCTGTATTTATTTTATAATATTCAAGAATAATCTGTCAGTCCTGGCCAGTGTATCTCAGTGGCTAGAGGGTCATGGGCTTGACCCGAATAAATGTGTTTCTCTCAAATTGATGTTCTCTTTCTCTCGCTCCCTCCCTCCCTCCCTCCCTCCTTTCCACTGTCTCTAAAAATCAGTGGAAAATATATCCTGGGGTGAGGATTAATTAAAAAAAAAAGCATAATCTGTCAGTTTCAGCAAGTCGTTAGCAGCAATCAATATAGATTTATTCCTTGACTCTGGAAGAAACATAATTTTTACAAGTGTTTCTAGTGCCTCACATTGACAATCTATTGATATTTATACCTGTCTCAATTTTGTTTCTATGGTTATTTTTAATTAACAAAGACACCAGTCACCACTGGTGATTTATGCCTCTGGAATGTGCTGGCTAACCACAACCCTTCTGCTGAGAATCTTTCTTAGGAAAAGCCCACATGGTATCTGGGAGTTGGTCCAGAGTCTTGCATTATCATTATTTCAGCAGCCTCCTGAGAATTCCACAGGTTGGATCCGCTTGGAACAGGGGTTATTACTGAAATTCATCATGAAAAGTGTCAGGGTGCAATAATGAACGCAAGTCAAGAAAGTTTTACCCAGTCAGGAATTCCTAAATGACAATGTTTAAGAGTTCCAATCTTTCTGTATTTACATTTTTTACCATGTGTCCAGCAGAGGATTTAAAACACCAACACCGGTTGTCTCACTCCTGGCTGCACTCAAGATACATGGATTCGAAGACCAAATATTTAAGTTTTGGGTTTTTTTTTTTTTAAAGCACTCACTGTGGGATCTTTGCCAGCCATTTTGCACTCTTCGACTTTGATTGTAGACGCTGGCCAGAAAACCTGCTCAGAAAGGAAAATATAGATTGCATAAATCTCCCTGTACATAGGACAGCTCAGTGCTCGTCATTTACTTTATGCTAACAGATTTCTTTAAGATGTTTCTGTATTTCTACTTCAAAATTCTATCTTCTTTCATTTTATGAACTTAAATGAATATGGATTTTAAAATTTTATTGTAAGACTTATGTTTTTATCCCTTCCATCAATCTTTCTTTTAACAAAAGCACTTCAATATATGCCCCCTTACTAATGCTATTATATTAAAATGAGGTCATTATTAATGTGCACAATATAAGGTATATTTCCTCTTTTTTATTTATAGTACACTTTTTCCAACTGCTTATATCACAATGAATTTACATTTATATTGCAATCTCAGTTTAATATTATTTTGAGAAAACTACAAGCTAGGCTGGTGGATTTAATTAAAATGGGCACCTAGGTACATCCACAGTTAAAATAGCTTGGATAGAATCCAAATGGCTCCTGCTCTGAAATACTGTCCTAGCATTCCAAGTCGTTGTTGCCTTGGCTCAGGTCTGGTAGTGAAGATTATTTCTTTGTCTGCTGTCCATTTTTAAAATAGCAAGTCCAGAAATCTCCTTTCTGTAATAAATTTATAATGAATCTACTTTTATTTCTTTACTCCAGTGAGTCTCAATTTATTTCCTTGTTGTGAAACAGAATGACAAAGACGGGCTACATTTGTTCAAAGAATAGTGCATTTAATAATTGTGTTTCTTCCAAGGACTTCTTGAATTACAAATAAATGACAAGGTAGGTCTTCCTTTAATCCGACTATTTTTTTTCATGCTATACTCTTGTCTTCTTTTTTTCTCATTCTATATATGTATAAACAGGAAGTGTTTTCTCAGCTTCAGATTTTAGATTGTTTAAAACTATAAAACTAGACAAAGAAAATGGAATTGATTTTATATTTTCAGTCCATTAAATAAATACGAACTTCCAATTACGTATAAACATGCAACTGGTATTTTCTATTGTTCTAATGAAATACATAATTTATTATTGTATTTTAAGTCTTTAAAGAAAAAAGCAAGTAAGAGATCAACATTGCCCTCACAAAAGTAATACACTTACACTCAAAGCTTCTTGACTTATATTGTTAATATTCAAGGAAAGAATGTGATCTTTGCTGCCCACATATATCCGGTCCTGATCTTCATCCATTAATAATATCCTATAGTCTAAAGGGTGGTGAGACAGGCTGAAGTACTCAGAGGTCTTGGTTTCTCGAAGCTCTGAAATAGTGAACAACACAGTGAAAATAGACATGGTTCAATGATCTATTATTTTAATAAAAATTATCTTACAGAAATATTTATCCAAAACTGTAAAGACACATTTTCCTCCTACAATAATAAATTAATTATAAATTAGAGTTATTTCAGTGAATATTTTTATTCATTGTCTCTGAAATAAAACATAAATCGATAAATGTAATTTTAAAGTTTATAGTGATGACATTGATTACAAAATTATTCACATTTTGTAAGAATCTCAATTGAGTTTTATTCCTGGATGTCATATCAACTAGTTCAAACAGATTAGCCAAAAATATATAGTAAAGTTAGCAGATTGAAACACAAATAAAAGCCCAACAAACAAACAAACAATGGCCGTGTGAATGTCTTCCTAGTTTGTCTTAATGTTTTCTTGTTGGACTCAGTACATCATTTTAGAATTATTTCCCTGCTCTAAATATTTACCTTACTCCCTCAACATAATTCTAACCAGTTCAATATGTTTTTTTGATAAATTACTTAAAAAGAAACCTATTTTTCCCCAGTATACTCCATAAAAAGTTAATGTCATTTAAATGTTCATGTATATATTATAAGGAAAAAGAATGAATTTTCAGATGTTCTGAATTGTTAGATTTCAGTATCTCAATGAACAGTGACTCATGTTTATTTAACTTCTTTTACATTAAATATGTGCCTGCACCGCTGAACTTTGACTATAATGAATGCACCATGACAACACAAAAATCAATAACAATTATAGCAGAATCAATTTTCTTTCTAGTCAAAATGCTCTTTGCACAACTTAAGACTTTTCCTTTCAAAGAGTTGATGTTTTCTTTGTTCTTTTGATCATAATCATAAAAGAATGAAAAACTGTACAAGAATACACTTTCTGGCCCGCAGGCCTGGCTCAGTGGTTGAGCCCTGACCTATGAACCATGAGGTCATGGTTCGATTCCCGTAATAAAATTTCCTGTTGGCAGAGCTGGTCTAGGCCAACAATAGTGGTTCCATTCCCCTAACCAGTGAGTGGTTTAAATGTGGCCTCTGACTAGTTATGGTCTATGAGACTTATAGAGAAGCCTTCTGCAGGGGTACTGAAAATATTTCTTGGGTCTCAAAAAGTGGCACCCCAAAAAGGTGCCACTTTTTCTACCTCTGGACGTTGCTGTGTGAGCATATTATACTTGTCAATTGTGCAGCTACCAGGATTACTAGCT